TAAAGTCCCCAGATACATTACAATTTTCTCTAACATCGCTTAGTGTTACCGCAACCCCAAAGGAGTCTTGCTATCACTGTTTACTATGGTTATTTGCTGTTGCTGTTGGTCTTTTGAGACAGGGTCTCGCGTAACAAGGCTGGCCTCGAATCCCCTATATATAATTGTGAACTTCTCCTCCTGACTCGACCTCCTGCTGGGACGACAGGTGTGCACCGTCATTTTATTGTTTAGGTTAACACTAAAACAGCCACAGAAGAAAGAGACTTTCCGGGCTCCTGCATGGTGCTAAGCCGAACTGAGAGGTGCCAGGAATGGATATCATTTTGATCAGTTTTCTCATTTGATGACAGGGGGGCTTAATTTGGAAAGCTTGGGGTGGCAATTAGTCATGCACTTGGGAACTGTAAGTTCCCTTCCCCTAAAGGGAGAAGCTAAACATTTAAGAAAAAAATGACCAAATGCCTCTGGATTGTTTTTCTTATGCTTCATTCAAAGTCATATCAATTATATGCCAAGTTCTTTTTTTTTTTTTTTGTCCTGGGTCAGAGCCACCCTTTCTCACACTGGGTTCTGGAAGGATCCGATCACTCATCATGTTATCTTTGTGGGTGGCAATGGAGACAGAAGTCCTCAAATTTTTCCATTTTTGAAATATTTTAAGCAGTTCGTAACTTTGTAAATCCACTGTATTCCGACGCCAGTGGCTGTCCAGGTTTTACAACACCTTGCCTGATCATCAACTTGCAGGAAAAATACAGTCTTTGAAATACTTACAGCGTGTTCTTTATTAAACTTCATATTATTTATGAATATGATGATGTTTGTGTGCACGACACGCACGCCACAGCTCCACGGTGGGTGGAGGTCAGAGGACATCTTTGTTTTCTCCTTCCTCCACGTGCATTCTGGGAATGGAACTCAAGTCATCCCGCTTGCACAGCAAGTGCTCTACCCACTGAGACACCCTACCATCTCTCAGCTGTTCTTTTACGTCTGTTCTTGTTCTAAACATTTTAAACGCAGTCTTCAAAATCTTTTCACAAGTCTTTGCATTCTTACTTCATTCACCTAAGATACTTTTTGGTTGGTGATTTACCTTCTGAAATGACAATATTTTATGCCACTGAAGAAGTTATCTTAATTTTTTTTTCTCCCTCTTCCTGGCTGGGGGCAATAAAGTTTGTATAACCCCAAAACTCTGTTAGGAGAAGTCTAAATTTTCTTTAAATAAAGTTTAAGCTCTGGGCCACCCATTGTAAGCCAGGTTAACATGCAAGAGTATAAACATAACTAGAAACGGAACAGTTGTATTTAATACCCGTCAAACTTATATCTAAAATATTGCTATGGATTCAGAACTCTGAATTCCAACCAGATGTATTTCCCGACTATTACACAGGTCATATATATTTCAGTTTTTAAAGTTCAAACCCAGGGGATCGACAGGATAATTAGATTGAGAACATCTGTGGTAAATCCATACCATTTCCCCGACCGTTCCCCACGAGAGAGGGAATTTGCTTGTTTTAATGCCCCCTCACATTTTATTTGTTTAGCTAGTCGTTCTCGCCGGCCACCGCACAAGTGTTGATGGTCTCTAAAGCGACCTCAAGATGGGGGGAAAGGCGAAGCTCCAAGGGGCTCCAGGTGGCGAAGTAGTTCTTCCCGCTTGGATCCCGGACAGGGCGTGGCCAAGTGCGCGGAGCCCCGGTGGGCGAGTGTGACGGGGGACCCTGAGGACCCGAGTGTCGGGGAGCCGCTGCCCTCTACCGGGCGGTGCGATCGCAGCTGCAGAGCAGCCGCCCGCGCGTTCCGGCTCCGGCGCCTAACACCCAGGCAAGCCTGCGGTCACCCGAGATCCGCAATGTCCCTCCTGGCGCCGCGTCACGGCCTCCAGACTGGAGGAGGCTCTGCACCCCCCGACGCCCGCGCGCTCCCACGCACCTGCTTCGGGTCGCTCCTGCCACTCAGAGGCTGCGACTTGGGAAGAAGCCGAGAGCAACCGGGTCCCGACCGCTCCATGACAAGAGAGGCTTCTGGCCGCAGTTGCAAGACCTGGGGGCACGTGTGTTCTTTAAATCTCGGGGGAACTTTCACTTCCAACCCCTTTCCCCCAAAATATCGATCTCACCGCAACCGAACAGCGCTAAACCCTCGAACTTGGCTCAGAGAGCAATTCTTTTCTACTGTCATGTTTTGTGTTCCATACACACGTTATTTACATATAATTTTAAAGATTAAGGAATTTGGGGGATTTGTCTTAACTAATTACACGTTCAACGAAGTGCCGAAGAGTGGAAACACGGTTTCCCTGCTGTAAACGCAAACTCGCTGGTGTGACTAAATCCATCCAAGATGAGGATCCTAAAACGCGTGCTTTGGGGCCGGAGGAAATGTAAAGAGAATTTCCTCCCCCGACTCCCGGTTTAAATGTGAGCGTTTTAAACTCGGGAACACGCACTCCGTCTTGAGTGCACTGCACGCTTTCAAACTTTCTGCCTGCAAAGACGAGACGCCGAGCTGAGTGAACCACCGAGAAAGTTTCTTGGGTTGTGTCGCAGACGCGTGTGCTTGGGGACAGAGCTTTGCTCCAAGACTTTCCCAGTCCCGGCCGAAAAGCTGGAGCGACTCTGAGAGGGTGGGGAGCCTGCTGCCACTTGCTGATGCGTCCGGGTGCAATTTGGGGATGGCACCGAGTGTGGGGCATGAACGTGGGCAGCAGCAGCAGCAACCGCAGCAGCGGCGGCGGCGGGAGTGTCCAAGGCTGGTGGTCAAACTGCACGCCCCCCCCCCCCTTTACCACTACATAGTTGCACTTCCTTGAATATGAAACACTGTTCGTGACCCATGTGGTCTGGAGGTCCCCCAGCTGGAACGCACAGGGGACCGGAGTGAGCTCATCCCCAGCACACGCGCGCGGGATGGGCGGCGGGTCTGGGTCGCGGGGCTTTGCAGGTGGTCTCTGCACGCTCCGCCTGCACCGTGCAAAAAAAGAGCGCGGCGCCCGCCCGCCCGCCCGCCGGGGCGCACAGGGCTGCAGCAGCAGCAGCAGCAGCAAGCGCAGCGCAGTCCACCGTCCCCACGTCATAGAGCAAGGGGACTTTCACCCCAAAGCGATGCCCACCAGCGACCGCGCGATCGCGCGCGCGACCTTTCCCGGGGTTCGGGGTTTGAGTGGGTGGGGGGGGGGGTTGGGGAAAGTGCACCCTTTAGGTGAGCCTCGGGGTCCCGGGGAGACCCTGCAGCGCCCCCTCGAGGCCGGGCCCCTGCAGGGTCGCCCGCGCGGCCTGGGAGGGGGGCTTGTGGCGGGGCGCGCGGGAAAAAGGGTGAGGGGTCGCGAGGGCCCCGGATGCCCGCGCTCGGGCTGTGGGGAGAGAGAGGGA